CCCCCGTTCGTGCTCTGTCTCTCTCAGTCTCAAAAATAAACAAACGTTAAAAAAAAAATTTTTTTTTTTTAAAAAGAGAATTCTTCAGTGCATATGGTTTGTGATCTCTAAGGCTTTCGATAAGTAAACAAGGGAAGAGATGACCGTGGAAATGCCCACTGACCACTGGAAACTTACATCATCAGGAGCATTTTTGTGGCTCGATGATTTCCCCAGATCAGTGAGGCCAAACATGTTAGCTTTTGAAGCTGTCTATGGTTTTGATGAGCCTTGGCAACAAGGCAGAGAGCCCCACGCAGTAAGACACTTAAGTGTACCCGAAAGCTCTCGTGGTCATTCTATTCATCCATTACAGCTATTTCTGTGTCCCTGACACTATGCTAAAAGCTGGGATCACACAGATTCAGAGCTAAAAAAAAAACTGGTAAGAACCTCAAAAGTTGATGAACTTTCAGTCAGAAAGGAAAGTTTCTAGGAAAACAAATACACAATGTGGTATTGCTTTTATGTGGAGAACCTTCAGCCTAATACATTATTATGTCAACTGACCACGGTTCAAGGGCTAATTTCTCAGGAGCTGGTGCAAAGCAGAGGCTTGGGAAGCTAGTAATTAGTTAAGTGATCTTGCCCGTCGTTGCTCCTGAAGGAACACCAGTCAAATTTATGCTTGGAAACGTTATTTCAAAATGAAACAGGAAACAGAAAAGAAATGATACTCCAACTGATAAAGAAATAATTCCTACCTGGAAACATTGCCATGGCAATGTACATCTGCCTGTAGTTCTCAAGGCAAAATACAGATTTAAGAAATGTTTCCCACGGGGCGCCTGGGTGGCGCAGTCGGTTAAGCGTCCGACTTCAGCCGGGTCGCGATCTCGCAGTCCGTGAGTTCGAGCCCCGCGTCGGGCTCTGGGCTGACGGCTCGGAGCCTGGAGCCTGTTTCCGATTCTGTGTCTCCCTCTCTCTCTGCCCCTCCCCCGTTCATGCTCTGTCTCTCTCTGTCCCAAAAATAAATAAATGTTGAAAAAAAAAAAAAAAAAAGAAATGTTTCCCAGGGCCCCTGGGTGGCTCAGTCGGCTAAGCATCACTTCATCTCAAGTCGTGATCTCGCAGTTTGTGGGTTCAAGCCCCGCATTGGGCTCTGTGCTGACAGCTCGGAGCCTGAAGCCTGCTTCGGATTCTGTGTCTCCCTCTCTCTCTCTCTGCCCCTCCCCTGCTCACACTCTGTCTCTCTCTCAAAAATAAATAAACATTAAAAAAAAAGAAAAGAGAAGCAATGTTTCCCAGCAGATAGCCCTGCCTTCTGGTCTTTATCTGCTCCCTAGGCGGCTGCCCCCTGTGAATAAATCTCCTCATCTAAAGACACTCTTGTATGCCTCGGGGCCTCAGCATCATATTGTCACAGGACAACTATCAAATCTTTCCAACAGCAGGAATCTATTGACCAATGTTTACATCGTACGTGCGGTAAAGATTCTGCGTGTCTGAATTCAGAAATTACAGCGGAGGGATTCATGCTTGCTACTCAGCTGCTGGCCTAGAGTTTCTCCAATGAGAGAATCCTCTGATTCCCACTTGCTCACTCACCTCCCCCCCAGAAAAGATCAACACATCAGCAACCAAGAAATTAAATAATGGCAGCCGAGTTCTAAAAATTCGTCCAAATGTTAACTATACCGGAATTCTTCTTTTTTTTTTTTTAATTTCATTCAAAATGTAAAAATGAAAACGACAGAAAAATCGTGTTTGTTTCAGGACTTAAACAGTCCAGATCTGATCCCTGAGTTGCCCAAGAAAGATGAAGTTGAGGGGTTTGGGGCACGAGAGGAAAAAGGAGTTCATGATGGTTACGGATGCCGTTCGGGGAGCCAAGCGGGTGGGGGGGGGGTCTCTTTTTCAACACAGGATAATTTCATTTTTACAGTTGCTTTGTGAAAACAACTGGCAATAGATACAATGGGCTAAATCTGTCACTCACAAAGAGAAGTTCTCTGTGGCTTATCTCGTACCCCACCCACCCCTGGCTCACACCCTTCCTAGACCCAACCCGGCATTATCAGCAGCTCTAGGTATTAATCAAGAGCCTACTCTGACCTGCCCAGACTAACAGGCTCCGTGTGACCAAAGTCACAGGAGCAGAAAAGACTCTGTTGCTCCTCAGAATTTTCCACTGATATAACTAAAATAGGGAAGCCCTCAGTCTTGCTTCTCTCCACTCCATCTTAGAGTGCTGACAGGGTGCTTGAACAAAAATCCATTTTCTCTAACTCCTTCCGGAGCAATCTCTGTGACCCTGACGGAAAGGAAGGGGCATTCCCCCGACTGCCCCCAGGGCTTCCCATCCGATGGCTGTTTGTCAATCTCAGTCCGCCTGATAGAACCCGCAGATGGCCTTGGTCACACCCTCTCACCCCAGACTCCAAGGGGGCGTGGAAGGAGGACAGCTGTTGGTTTCCTCTTCCCAGCCCTGCATGTCGGGTGCCCACCTATTTATAGGTGGGTGGTCAATCCCAAAGAAATAACCAGTGGTGTTAGTGGTTTTATTCCTCTTACTCATAAAAGTTGGGAGCAAGTACTTTCAAAGGAACTTAACACTCAGGAAGAAGAGGCACACAGCTGAGAACTGTGCCGAGCCTTAGTCTCGACTTCTGCTCCAAACATGCGTTTTTAGGGAGGTCCGTGGCCACGGGGGCAATGGTGCAGGGTGACCACATGATGGGATGCTTGCCCTAATCCATTCGTTGAACAAACGCTTATTATACATCTGCCATATGACATATCTGCCATCCTGGCTTTTCCAAGGCTCAGCCTTCTCGCCAAGTCACTTGAGAGTCTGATTCCCAAGGAAAAAGCGACAACCCGGACAGGGAGGACACAAAGTTGTGTACTACACAATGGCACCCAACCAAGGAGCTAAGTAGGAACTGAAATGCAGCCCATGATCCTTTTGCCCAAGGGGTGTCCCTTTCCCTGATGCCCGAGAAAAGCACTTTCTAGTCAAACGGGGGCCCTGTGCATGAGATACAACATATAATCAGATGTCAACAGGCTGCCGTACCCTACAACTAGCTCTATCGATGACAGATGACATGAGAATGGATGAGAATGGATGCATTTCTTAATTTGTCATTGCCTCAGTCTCCCCATCTATCAAGTGGGGTCAATAATGCTTCTCCATGTTTTATGCCTTGTTTTAGGAGCAGACTGAGCTCACTAGAAAGGAAGTCCTCAATATAATGTTTATATTAGAACTTTATTTCCTCCCTTTGTCCCAAGACAATGCTGCTTAGTAGCTATGGATCGTCTTCTGACCAGGGAAGAAAATAAACCTATTTTGTAGCCCCTGCCAAGGCAAAGTAATGGAAGCTCTAACTTCACTAGCCAAGCAATGGTCATGAGAAAGACCCAGAGGGGCACCAGTTCCACAACTAAATGCCTATTCGGGGGCCCAACAGAAACTTCAGATCAATTCTTCCTCAAATGTCCTCCCAAGTTTAGATGGAAACAAAGGTCATAAACAAGGCTACTAACCAATTTTTGCAGAGAGGGAGAAGAAAAGACTTTCCACCCTTCCTTGAGGGCAGACTTTGTGCCTTTCTTCGACCGTGAGTTTCAGGGCCAGAATTCAACAGTGATTGCTCAACCAACATTTGTTGGCTTTGTGCAAGTGGTCCAACACTTCCAAGGGTTGATCCTCCCCTTCAGGGGAGAGATGTGGATTCATATTAGGATTAGCAGAGCCTTGAATCCTATGAAATCATCCAATTCAGCTAGACCTGCAGAAGAAGGTCTTCAATTCCCATGTTCAGAAACTTACCGTATCTAGCCTAAATCTGGCACGTTCTTTTTCCAGTGCTAATGGAAACGAAAAACACAGAAGAAGTTGTAATTTAACGATTGGAATATGCTGCTTCTGAGTTACAGGTGGATTTATCTTTCTAGGTTAAAAAAAAAAAAAATCCAAACAAGCTAATGTTAGTGTCAGTGGGTCATTCCATGACATCTTGCTCAAAGCACGATGCTTTTGGTCTGAACTTCTTTTTGTCTGATTCAAGTCTTAGATTGGCCTTGAAAGCCAATAGATGGCTTGCTATTATCTCACTTCAAGAAAAGCTTAAGATTGCAGTGGAGAGAAGGCAAGTGCTGGTCTCCAGCTTGAGGTTCCAATTCCGGGAGACAGAAATTCTTGGTATGAAGTCAAACTGCACTTGTATTCTTTTCTTTTCACTCCCCTCCTGAGAGCTAAGGAAGGGGGCTGCAGAGGGAGCCTCTCACGAACAACACTCAACCAGGCTTTAAACGTGTTTGCTCTGGTTTCAATAGCATCTATTCCTACAGCACACTCTTGAAATAATACTTTGCCACTTAGGGACTTCATCCTTCTCACGAGCGGATGGCTACTTAGGAATGTAACTACCGCCACCTTGTGGAATGGAGACAAACTTACAGTTATCCCCCCCACCCCTTATCCATGGAGGGGGGCGGGGTGGGGGGAATACTTTCCAAGACCCCCAGGAGACGCCTGAAACAGGAAATATTACTGAACCTTATACCCACACTGCTTTTTTTTTCCTATACATACATACTTATGATAAAGTTTAATGTCTAAGTTAGGCACAATAAGAAATTAACAATAACCAATAATAAAATGGAGCAATTATAACAATATTCTGTAATAAAAGTTATGTCAATGTGGTCTCTCTCTCTCTCTCTTCTCTCTCTCTCCCCCCAAGTATCTTACTGTACGCTACTCACCCTTCTTCTTGTGATGACGTGAGATGATGATAAAATGCCTACACAATGGGATGAGGTGAGGTGAATGAGGTAGGCCCTGTGATGCAGCATAAGGCTACTACTGACCTTTAGATTATCCCTGAGGAGGGGGACCATCTGCTTCCGGATCCCCCCTGACCGTGGGTAACTGAAATCGTGGAAGTCGGAACTCAGACAAGGGGTGGACTACCGTACTTGGAAAAACTTAATGGGTTCAATTTTTTTGCCACACTTGAATATTTTTTTCTCAGTTTCGATCGCTTTGTCTTTTCTGGGAAGGAGCCTCTGCTGATCTTGCCACAGGAGCATCCTGTACCTGGTGGGGGAGAAAAAAAAACAACCCTGCTTGCTTCCCGTCCCATTATTCTCAGTCAAATGGAGCTATGACATACAGAGAGTAAAAACTTCCATTCCCTGGAAAGCTTTTAAGCTTCACAGACAGTGCCAGGAATTGAACCATAATCCTAAATAATTATATTTACAAAAAAAGGGCCTGCCCATAATCTCCCCAAAAAATAATATTATTCACATATGTTTTGTATAGAAATCCACATACATTGGCCTAGCCATGTTTGCATTCTGGTCTTAGACTAGAAAATTAGCCTTGACCTAACAGAAGTGTTTAAAATTGACTGCCCTATAATATATCACATCATTTGCTTTCAATGCAAAGCATGGTCTGGTTTATTTTCCACTGCATTTTCCTGTTGCAAAGACACTTCTCTAGCTGTGTATATCTCTGTAGATGGCTCTAAGGGAAGGGGTTAGACGTAAGACTACACCCATGTTTAGATAAACACATCTATCTGTTTTACCTCAGAGTGAACTATCTCATCATGGGAAAGTTGAAGTCTGCTGAATAGACACCAACATTTATAAGGAGTTTGATTATAAGCAATGTCTCTGTTTTAAAAATATATATATGTCACTTTTTCACTTGGAAGAAACTGGTTTTGTGTAATTCCGTTTAGCAGCTACTATTTGCAATACCTGAGTAGATAAATCACAATACTACAGCTTTGACCTGAACCACCAAAATGGTTACTAAACCCTGCAACATGCACATTACATCTGAACAGACAAAATGTAGGAAGCAACCAGAACCATCTTGCAACAAACCTCCTTCTTTCGTGAAACCTACTTTCTTTTACTAGAAGAGATACTCGATTGTAGCCAGTGTTGTGATATTCACAGCACAATTCCCTTTATGTAGTCCAAGAGATTTTGAGTTGGAA